TTTCTTTCCCCATCATGGTTTTAAGTATAAAGCACTGTGAATGAAGGTAGTAGTCAGGGTTAGCTGCAGGGATGTGGGTGTTTTACTTTTTTTTTTTTTTTAGGGGGAGGTAACTTTATTTTAAATTTATGGGCTCCCTTCCCCCTTCTTATGGTGATCTAATTGCATTGGTTAAAAGCAGCTAACCAGTTGTTCTTTAGAATATACCCTCTAGCCAAGTCTAACTTTATTTAGACGCTGTAGATGGACAAGCTTGATTGTTTGAACCAAAATGGGAACATTAAACAAACATCACAGCCCTCACTAATAACATTGTGACTTTGCTGTCAAATGTAGAATCCTCCCTTCAAGAAAAAAAGCTTGTGACCATTTTGTATGGCTTGTCTGGAAACTTCTGTAAATCTTATGTTTTAGTAAAATATTTTTTGTTATTCTAAAAAAAAAAAAAAGAAAAAAGAAGTCTGGAGGTCTTAATCCAGCAGGCTAAGCACGTCACCCACTCATGGCCTGGTTCTTCCATCCCTCTGGTCTAGGATCTTTGATGTGTAGGCCTTTTGGCCTGGGGCTTTTATCTCTTGGTCTCAGTCGGGTTGCCACAGTTCCAACCCTTACAACCTCGTATGACAGGAAGGATGGGGGAGGTCAATAACAGACGAAAAAGGTCCGGTGGCACGGTACCTTGTATTGAGTTGCTACCACAAAGCCAGTGGTTTGAATCCAACAGTTGTGTAGCAGAGAGTTGAGTAGTCGTTTCCTGTAAAGATGTACCTCCTTAGAAACCTGTAAATGATGAGGGGTCACCTTTGGTTGGATTTCGTTCCGTGACAGGTAGTTTGGGGTTTAGGTTTATCATCTTTGAGGAAACTTTTCCAAACCCTACTCCTTCCCCAACTGATTGGTCAGAACTAGATTACAAGCACACGACTAAACCAATCACTGACAAAAGGAAATGACAGCAGTGGTTGGTTTGGACCAATCATGATTCAGTCCTGGAGCCGGAAGTTCTGCTTCCTAAACAAAATCGGGTTTCTGCAGGACGGTAGGTGCCGGACGCAGGGGTTAAATTGGTGGTGGGCGGTATCCCCGTATCTCCTCCCTCGACTGCCCGTCTCCACTGCTGGCCAGCTCTTCCTCTGACCCATTCATCTGAGGCAGCCAGGCTGAACTTTCTAAAACCTCCCGCTTGAAGCTACTTAAGTCCACAGGTGGTACCCTAGGATTTCAGAGAAATGAATTCCAAACCAAATGTTATTCCTTCCTTTGTGTGACCCTAGGAAAGTCTTCTAACTCCTCTGCCTCCGTGCCATCACCTGACAATGGAAACGATAACAGGTCCTTTGAAAACGGAGAATTAAAAACACAAACTCATACTGTGATCAAGTGAATGCTGACTCACAGCCACCCGATAGGACAAAGTAAAACTATCCCAAGGCTGTGATGATTGATTGACTTTTTTCAGAAGCAGGCTTCTATGTCTTTGACCTGAGGAATAACTTAACTGTTGGGTTCAAACTCCCGACCTTTAGTTTAGCAATTGAAGGCTCTGATCACTGCACCACATTAGCTCCTAAGAAGGATTACATAACAGTTAATGTTACATAGCCTCGCCAAGCTTTAAGTTCTTTAGTTCTATTAACCTTTTTAATCCTCCCAACAATCCGATAAAACGAGTCTGTTAGCTCCATTAATAAAGCTACCAGCCCAGCCGCAGAGCTGTGATGGAGCGCATGCGTCCAGGCAATGGGGCCTTTCTGTGATGCCCAATTGGGGGGCGGAGCCTCGAGGACGTGTCTTCACCAGGAGGACTACAACTCCCAATAGGCTTAGCGCGCTCACCGGACTACAATAACCAGCATGCTTCGAGACGTGTCGCTTAACTTCTTCCTCATTCAAAGCTTTCTCTGCCTCCTGAAATCAGCTAATGAGATTTCTTGCCCTAGAATTCTTTGTTAATTTTGCTTGCAAGAAATCTCTAGGAGAACCAAGGATTCTTAGTCCAAAGGAATTTATGATTATCATTTGTGGAATTAATACCTTTTAGTTGCTACCTCACCTGTTTGCTCTGAAATAAAATTTTTTCATCTCTTAAATGAGAATGTTCTTAAGAGCTGCTTCATTGAGTTGTGAGGAATAATGGTAAAATGCCTTTGTAAAGGTCACTTCTAGTAACTACCCCTTCTTCTCTGCGGGTTTTAGCAGAACATTTTATTTCTACAGCAATCCTGAGTCAATACTGTCATCCTCTGCTTGAAATTGTAAAGCAGCACGGAAGAGAGATCTAAGTCTCCTGCCCATTGTCACACAACAAAGTGTATGGTGAAGGATTCGAACTCGGGCATTTTCACTTCAGAAGTGAGTCTGTCCTAGGAACCTAAATGCATCCCGCTCCCTAGGGAAACAATCATCACTCAAAGTCTAGGACAACATTTTCTGCTCTCCCTACGGGAACCTGAGTCACGTGACACATGAAAAACCCGTTTCATTGCAAGTGGCGAGGGCTGGGAAGACGTTTTGAGAGCCTGTAATAGCTGAATTTAACCTAATTGGAAAAATCAGAAAGGTTTTCCTGAGGGCGTGTTGTTAGATCAAACAGCCAGAGTGAAAACAGCACGGGGAAAGCCTTGAGGAAGGAGAAGACATGCTAAACTCCAGAGACCTCCAAACGTGGCATTGTAGCTGGAGAGGTGAAGGCGGGCTCGGACTAAGAACCAATGGGGCAAAACTTGACGTATTCAGAGAGAGAGAGAAGAGTGTGTGTGTGTGTGTGTGTGTGTGTGTGTGTGTGTGTGATTTTAATGAAAGTTAACAGAAAGAATGGATGAGGTTTTACTCATTCATTGATACACATTTTCATCCCTCCTCTTCCCCACTCCCCCAAGACACTCATTCTTGTTAAGTGCCATCAAATTGACACAGCGGTCTTATGGACAACAGATCTGAACCTTACCCTCACCATCCCTAACATACTTGAGACCATTATTACAGTCACTGTGTCAGACTATCTTATTGAGGGCTTTCCTCTATTCTCTGACCCTCCGCCTTTCCCAGAATGATGTCTTTTTCCAAACACTGACTTCTCTTGACAACACACTCAGTCTCAGCCTTGCAAAAATGCAGGTTAAGGAGCTGAGAGGGAGTCGTTGTTAGATACCATCAAACTGACTAGGACTCACAGCTATTCTATGAACAATCTCTTCCATACTCAAGTCCATTGTTGTACTGGGTCAACCCACCATGTTGAGGGTCTTTTTTTTTCCTTCAAAGACCCTACATTTTTCTAAGTATGATTTCTTTTTTCAAGGACTGGTCCCTCCTGATATGTCCAAAGTATGTGAGAGTAATTCAAACTTAGAATGGACTCATAACTGACCCTCTTTTGGGTTTCTGAGGCTGTAAATTTCATGGAAGGAGATTGCCCATCTTTGTTCTATGGAGCCGGGAGTGAATTAAAATAGCCAGAAGAGAGACCTTTTGGTTAGCAACGCAACTCCTTACAAATTATGTCACCAGAGCATCTGGCACATAATAGGTGCTTATTGATACTCTTTGAATTAAGAGAAGGACAAATGGATGCCTTCCTTAAAAATTAAAAAAAAAAAAACCAAACAGAAAACAAAAACAAAACCCAAACTACTGCCAGGGAAGTAAATCCCATGCAAACAACAGTAGAAATGGCCCATTGGGTTTCAATGTAAGGATGGTGAGACTCAGTCTCATACTTTGGGCATATTATCAGGAGGGGCTGGTCCTTGGGAAAAGGCACCATGCTGGGTAAATAAGAGGGTCAGGCAAACAAAGGAAGAACCTCCATGAAATGAATTGACACTGGTTGCAATAACCAGGCTTTTAAGCATGGCAGAGATTGTGAGGAAGACACAGGAAAAGGAAGTGTTTCATCTGTTGTAGTCCACTCAGGGTTAACTGATGACTTATGGAACCTGACCACCACATCCTTCTCCCCAGTGGCTGGTGGATGCAAATCATAGAACTTTGGGTGAGCCCTCCAAAATTTAACTACTGCCCTGCTAGGGCTCCTTCTGCCAATGCAATGCCCCTCTGGCCAGAAAGCATGAATCCTGGAAGCAAATCTGGCCTGGATTAAAATTCTGGCACAATCACTTACTAGCTAAATCCGTTTCAATAAATCAGTTAAACTCTCTCAGTTTCACTTTCAAAGCATTCCCCATCTAGTAGAAATATTCTAAGGATCTAATGACATAGGGGAAGCGATTGAGGAGAAATAAGCGCTTTTAAAGTCTATACAATAAAGTCTATTTTAAAGTCTTTCGTAAAGGTATCCTCCTAAAATTGATCAGTCTTGCTGTTTTCACCAAGCACCTCAATTTCTCCCTGGCCACGGGCCTAGAGAGATTTGAAGCTTATCTATTGGATTGATAACCAAAAGATCATCAGTTCAAATCCACCAGAGAATGAAGAACCGTCCACTCTCATATTTAGCCTTGAATAGTTATGAATTGGAACCAAATGGACAGTAGTGGATTTTGAGTCCTTGCACACACAAAATACTTCTCTGTAAAGGGAGCTCTGGTGGCCAAGCAGGTATCAGATCGGCCAGCTGTCCTGCGGGAGAAAGGTGGCATAGGTCCTCTGCGATCTACAGTGTGAAAACTCAATGGACAATCCGCTGGGAGTCGATGACAGGTAACAACAACAAAGGGGTCTTCCTGGCGCGATGGGTTAAAGCGACAGGCTGCTAACACACAGCTTGGCAGTTCAAGCCCGCGAGCTGCACCGTAGGAGATGCTTTGCTTCCGCCCTGGAAACCATATAGGGCAGTTCTACCCTGTCCTATAGGGTTGCTGTGAGTCAAGTTCGACTCCATGGCGACGGGTTTGGTTTCGAGGTTTGGTTAAATGGAGAGGGGAAGGAAAATAAGGACACACACCAAGCTGCCGGGGTGCCGCGGCGGCCGGAGCAGCGGGTGTCAGCGGGCGACAGGGGGCGTCAGCGGTACGACCTGCGCGTGCGCGCGCGTCTGCGCACAAGGGTCGGGGCGCCGGGCGGGGGGTGAAGAAGGGGCTGGCCTTCCAGCGACAGCGACGCAAGATGGCAGCCACCACGGGCTCGGGTGAGCTGGGGCGCCGGGCCCGGCCGGCCGAGGGGGCGCGGGTTCGGGCCTGGACCCCGGCCCCGCGAAGGCCCTGGCGGCGAGGCCGGGGGTCT